CTTTGCCGTACCAAGCATCTTCATGCTCACGTATTTCACCGCTGTCTTTTATAATGGCATGGGTAAATCTCCTGGGTTTAAGTTTATCCCAATCGACAGGGCATCCACCATTGGTGGGAAAGGCTAACTCTCTTCTTGGTCGCCTGCGTTGACAGATAACTTTGTTTCCTTTTATCACCCACTCATCTTTCACATCCTCAACTTTGGCACTCGGCGGAGGTGGTGCGTTAAGTTTCGGTCTCTTCGCTTGACTTTCTGATTCCTGATCTTGGCTTTCAGACGCTCGGCTTTTACCTTCGAGTCTCAGTTGGGCCGAGGCTAACCTTGCTTGTATGTTTGGGCTTTCATGTCTCTTTAACCACTCGATTACGCGAGCTCTGCAATCAGCATTATGTGGTTTATGCTCTTTGTCGCCTCTAACTAGGCATTTACACCCGTAACATCCCGGCGTCGGTCCCATTTTCAGATATTCGTGCTTCTTTACGGCTATTCCTCGCGCAATCAGCGGCTTCGTCTCAGGTGCCGTTAACTCTTGCTCTGGCAAGTCCATGGGGACCATAATTCTAGACTGCAACTCCATTCCTGCCGCGTTGGGGTCAGGCTGCCAAGGTAACCCCTTCATCTCGGTGATTTCGTTCATATTCCATCTTTCCGCTTCACTTCCCTTTCGTTTGAACTCGTGCGCCTTGATCGCTCCGTTCGGTGTTCCAATGATGAGCTCCTGACTCTTCTCGTTAATTCCCCCAAACACTCCACTTTCCCATCTGATCTCAAGCTTTTCACGGCCTTTGTGCGCAGGCGTCTTTAAATACATGACACATTCACCGAACTCAGGAATTTGTTTGTTAAGCTTCCTCCCCCTACATCTTTCATGGGCTGTCTTTCCATCTGTATATATCGTGGACTTGTTAATCAGAGAAGACGCATAACTTACCATCCATGGTATAATCGTATGGCTTTCACTAAACTCGGTCTTGTAATTGACATCCAAGGCGCTCTTTAATGTCCTGACTTGTCCTTGCACTGTTCTAACAGCTCTCTCAATTTCACCGTTGGCCTTTGAATCGCCTACAAGACTGACTTCAACACCCATGTCAAGGTCACTCGACGCTTTAATCATGTTGGCCAGCGCCGTAATTGCCGCTTCTCCATCACTTTTAAGTATAACCTTCTTATGTCCGGTGAAGCCGATCATGTCACATCCCACTTTTACTGAATATGGATCCACCCCTTTCTTCAACAACACTCGGCTCCACGTTAACTTGGTTTCCCTGCAATGCATGACCAGAATTGGGTTACCATTGTTCGCACTTTCGCCTTCTTCTTTTCTTCCTTTAAGCCACATGTAATCCATTGAAATTACTGGTACACCTCCGTTCCCTTTCCTTTTACGTCTCCTGTGATTGCGCCTACGCGCCTTGCCCCTAACGCAATGTGGGCACCAACCTCGGCAAGGCAAATGCGTTGCATTGTGCGCCTCGACTTCCTCCTTTGACGGTCTCATGTCACAATGAACTTTCTCCGGTAACTCTGCTTCGTCACTCACAAACACGTCTTGTACGTCACTCAACTCACTTTCGCTGCCCCCACTTTCAGCCCCTTCGCCTTCTCCGGTGTTAAAGACGTTTAAGTTTTCGCTTGGTCTTACGGGTAATGAGGGGCTTAGTAGAACAGGTCCGCCTCGAGGGTTCCCGGCCGCGGAAAACCCTCAGCTGCGTTTACCTCACTCTTGGGCTTGACAGCCTCCACCGGTCCCTTCGGCACCATGATGTTAAACTGGAACGTGCCGTTCTTCTCGTGGATGGTCGTACATTTACCCGTGGCCTTATTCATAATATGACTCAGGGATTTCCCGTCAAGGTCCTTGTCGAATACAACTCTGTTTCCAGCGTTTACCATCTCTCTGACAGATCCCAGAACTTTGTTGACTTCCGCCACTCGAATTGGCATGCTGACTGAGTTTCCATGTTCATTCTTGCCGGTTACTACTCGCTGCCCGTAATTCTTTATCGTCGTTCCGTTTGCCGCGCTGTAGTGTCTTCCCTGCTTTGACGCATCTGTCTGTTTAATGGGGAAGTAGATGCCTATTCTTGGGGGTCCTACCGTGTTGTACGCTCCAGAGTCCACGGTAACCACGATTGTTTCGTGCGTTGTACTCTGAGGTGGCACCGCGTTAATTTCTGGGTCACAGTCTCGCATTTCGATTAACCCAATTTCTCCACATTTCCCAAACCAACTCTTTTCCTGCTTTATGATTTTATTTATCCTCTGGCCCCACTGATTTACATGATTGCAGTTCTCGTTGCACTGATGCTCCTGGTAAGCTTTTCTCAGGTCCACTGCGATTTTACGCGCCATTTTCTTTCTGGAATGTGAGGGCAGCGCCCATTGTCCGTTAATCTCCTCAGCCGTGGGCGGTTCCGGTGGCACGTTCACTTCATCATTCATCTCAACACTGAGCACATGCTGCGGTTGGCCAAACGAGGTGGTTTGTTCACTTTCCGCGTTTACCGTTGGTCTCTCTTGCTCAACTTCGTCGGCGGTCTTCTTGGGACCTGGGCAGTTAACGGCAATGTGCCCTTTAGCGCCACACTTGTAACATTCACGCTCGCTGGGGGGGGTAAATCTTCCTTGGCCACCGTAACTTCCACCCCGCGAGCCGCCACCTTTACCACCTTGTTTACCTCCAATCTTACCTTTCATGTAAGATCCATAGGTGGCACGGTAACCTTTGCCTTTGCCGCCTTTGCCACCTCTGCCTCCTTTCGTGAACTGTTTCGGCTTTGTGCAGTTCCTGGCTAAATGACCCATGCCTCCGCAATTTTAACATTTGGGGCCTGAGCCTTTGCCTTTACCCTTGTTTACGGCGTCGACTTCCTCATGATCTCCAGTTTCACTTTCATTAGCCCAGGACCCGTAACTCCAAGATCCGCCCTCTGGCCACCAGTTTCCAACTTCGTCAACCCATCCTGTCTGATCCCAGACATTTTCGGACCCTTGACTCGTCTCGTTCATATTTCCAATGTCCATCGCATCTTTATGTGTCTGAATCTGGTTTCTTTTTACGCGCCCAATCTTCACACTTGGAGTATAGCTTTTGGAACGAATCAATGTTAAGTGCGTCAGGCGTTCGCCAGCGCGCCTGCTGCCACTCGTCAAACCAATCATTCGCGTGCACCATTATTGCCCTGAGCGCGGTAACCTTAAAGGGGAGGGGCAGTGAGTAATCTTTGCCATACTTTTCAAGATTCTCCGCTAACGCGCTCCACTCCTCAAGTCGGGTAACGGTGTCGGTAATTTTCTTGGGCGGCTCAGGATTCATAGCGTGCGTCATCTTTGAAGAAAGGGTCGCTCCGGTAACAGCCGAGTACCATTTGTAAACCTTTTGCCCAGCCATAATTCCGTCACCATCCATGAGTCCCTTTAATTTTCCCCTTGCTTCTGCACCTTCAAGCTTTTCGTTAAGGATGTACCATAAGTCTTCCTCCATTTGAGTTTTGTCTCCCTCGGTAAACTCAAAAACTCCTTTGTTGTCATCCTCTGCTTGTTTAGCTTGGTTTGCCTTTAAGTGTTCGCTTGCTGTTAACCGACCGTTCATTATGCGTATGATATCATCATCATCTTCCTCTGGGACAACTCCGTCAAGTGTCTCCAACTTCTTGTTCAACATTTTCAGTGCCGGTCGGTAACTCGGTTTTACTTGGGCAAGCGCGTTTAAGAACTTGTCGCTCCAGTCTCTGAACTTTGCTCCTTCTCCACTGAAAATCTTCAACGCCTGTAATGCTTTGTGCTCGTTTATCGGTTTACCGCTCCCGTGCTTACTTCCACTTCCGCCTTTGATTGCTTCCGAAAGCTGACCAAACTTTTCAATTAACTTCTCTTGTACTTCGCTGTTGGTCTCCAACTCGGTAACTCTTTCTACCAATCTGCGAGCATCCCTTTCAAGCGCAGCGTTTCTCTTCGTTATCGCTAACAACATGCTGTTGGTCTTCTGAGCACTCTGTAACATTTGAAATGCCTCAACGTTCGATACTTCCCTTCGGTCCTGTGTAACTCGCTCGTTAATGAACGTCGCAAGTCCATGATGATTTGCAAGTAAGGCCGTCTGAACGTAACTGAAGTCCCCGTTCAGGTACGCCTGCTCGCACAGGTCGTTGAAGCGGTTAGGGTCCATGTTGACCCATGCATCTCGGTCCGCCGGCACGTTAAGGTTGACCGGCGGGTCGCCCTGCGCGGGCCTAGCTGCAGCGGCCGCCGCCGCCGCCATGGCAACCGCGCTCCGCTACCATGCAAAACCCCGAGGAGGGTTCTGCACGGGAGCTCGGTGACAGCGATGACGATCGGTCACCTTTTTACCTCAGCACGGCGAAGCAAGTCTCGGTAGCTTCAGCCGTTAAACACTTGAGCCAAATGGTAACGGGGACACCTTCACTCCCCAGTCACCTGAATGCTCACATGTTAACACCTCTTCCTCCTCCTCCTCCTCTTCCTCCTCCTCCTCCTATTATTTTTTCCGTCTCCTCTGCTCCACCCCTCCTCCTCCTCCACCTCCTCCTCCTCCGCCTCCATCACCCCGCCCGCCACGAGGAGAAGGAGGGAGGGAGGGAGGGAGGGAGGCTCCGGGAGGGAGGGAGGGAGAGAGGGATGGAGAGAGAGAGAGGGAGACATGAGGGATGAACTGGTTTTGGCGGCGGGGGAGGAGGAGGAAGTGGAGGAGGGGAAGGGGAGGAGGAGGATGAGGAGGAGGAGGAGGAGGAGGACGAGGACGAGGACGAGGAGGAAGAGGAGGAAGAGGAGGAGGAGGAGGAAGAGGAGGACGAGGAAGAGGAGGAGGAGGAAGAGGAGTAGGAGGAAGAGTAGTGGATATAAAGGTGATGAAGGTGGAGGAGGAGAAGAAGGAGGAAGATAATGAGGAGGAGGAGGAGGAGGAGGAGGAGGAGGGGAGAGGCGGCGAGAAGAGGAGGCCCCCCCTCTCCTCCTCCAGCCCGGGCGGCCGCAGCCTGATTGTCCCACAGCTGCATGAGCGCCTGGAAGTTGCCCTCGGAGCGCGTCGCGTGGAAGGGCAGCGAGACGTTCTCCTGGGCGCGGCGGAGTCCACGAGGATGGCAGCGGGGCGCCGCGGGGAGCCGAAGAGGCGGCAAGGCTGGAGGAACGACCACTGGACAAAACAACTGCGGGACAAACGCGGGCACGCCGCGGGACAACCACGGGACAAGCGCGGGACATGCGCGGGACAAGACTGGGCACGCCACGGGACCACCACGGGTCAACCGCGGGGCACCCCCCCCCTCGCGAACGCCCGGTCCCGCGCGACTCGTTTCGACTTGACCTGGCCGTAGCTATGGTAGGATCTCTCTCGCCCTCGCACAGTTTCGCCTCGTCCGCACGCGCGAGACGAGTCGAAACCGAAACAAATTTCCCGATCGGGGGCCTTCGGTTTTCTTCGGTCTCACCCCCAGGAGCCTCCTATATACACATAATATGTATGTATAGGTATGTGCATATAAATATACAGATACATACATACATACACACACCTATATATACATATATATATATATGTATATATACATGTTTGTTTCTATATATACATGTACAAGACTGCATTGGCGCTTCACGCCATGCACCTTGGTCCTTGAAATTTGGTATGCAGGCGGAATGGCAGAAAAACCAAGCCGACAATTTAGCGATAACTCCTTATTGCCTTTTCCGGCATCGCCGTTATAATAATGTGATTCGTTACCATTCCTCCATGTTTCTTTTTCCTCATTCTCACCATACCCTGCGCATTCTCCCCATCCTCCTGAGCTCTTCTTGCAAAGGCTCCTCCTTGGAGATGGGGGCCTCACACAAGTTTTTCAAGCTTTCTTAAGGCCTTCTGGAAGCTGGGCGTGGTCTAATTAGAGGACTCTGGGGGCTTCCTCGGGTCACCCTGCCTCCAACCGCAGTCTCCCTAAACGACGGGGTCACGATTTGGAATGCTTCGAAGGGTGTCTTGGGATCATCTTGGGCCGCCATGGGGCTCTCTTAGGGCAATCTTGGGCCCCTGTTGTGCCTCTTTGGGTCTTGGACTGCCTGGAAGGCCTTTCGGATGGTTGTGGGGCGATTTGGGAGCCTCCCAGGCGGCTTCGGACGCCCAAAAGACCGCCGTCTTGGAGCGTCGGGGAGCCGAAAAGAGGAGAACCCCCAAATTCACCAAAAACTTAAAGGAAATCACTGCTTCTTGCCTCTTGGGGCCTTCTTGGGAGTGCTCGTGGAGGCCTTTTGGGACGTTCGATCTTTGGGGGTATGACGGCCAAATTCGTTCGGGGGGGGATCGGGCGTCCCCGGCCCTATAACAAATACATGACTAGGAATATGTACCGAAAACCGAAACGCGCGACACGAACCGAAACCGAAACCAATTTCCCGATTGGGGGCCTCCGGTTTGTTCGGTCTCACCCCAGGAGCCTCCTGTATACATATAGTATGTCTGTGTAGGTATGTGTATATATACACATATGTACAAGACTGCATTGGCGTTTCGCGCTGTGCACCTTGGTCCTTGAAGTATGGTGCGCAGGCGGAGGGGCGGGAAAGTGAAACATACACGTTCGCGGTAACTCCTTGTCTTTTGCGACATCGTCGCTCTGATAATGCTCTTCAGCATCGTTCCCGCATATTTCCTCTTTTTCTTCCTCACCCTCGCCTTACCGTGCGATTTTTCCCCATCCTCTGAATTTTTGTTTGCGGAGGTTCCTCCTTGGACAGCTTCCTGGGGGCCCTGCGAAAGTTTTGAAGGGCTTCCTGGGGCGTTCTGGAGGCCTTCAGTGTTCCTTCTTAGGGCCTCTCGGGGCTTCCTCGGGCCAACCTGCTTACAACTGACCATCCCAGCCATTCCGATATCGAAACCCGTCCTCATCCTCGTCCAATAATACTGCGCGCGCACCCGTGCATCTTAAATCATCAAGTGCCAGAACCATGTACAATACAAATGACGAAATGCACACGCGCGCGTCGTCGCACGCGCATGCCAAAGACCTTCAAAAACCTTGGGCTCGTGCTGATTCAACAGCTGAGCGCCCTGAACACATCTGGAAACATCTGGATGTGCAACATGTTTTGTCTAAAGAAAGGGCTACGCGCGCTCTTGCGAATTCGTGAAGGAGCAATGTATTTTCCTCATGTTCATCACATGCGACCAAACGGGCCTCTCGCGCGCGCATGTGGAAATCGTTCGAACGCCTTTGCGCGCGTGCTGGGGGGGGGGAGGGGGGGCACGATCCTTGTCAAATACTACCATGCGGGCCGCTCGCGTGCGTCGGCCGCGCGCGCATGTCGATATCTTTCCAAAACCTTCATCGCCGACACGTGGACATCATCATCATCATCATCATCATCATCATCATCATCGCCGTCGTTGTGACCAGCAACGGCGACGTCAATGACCTTGCCGTCGTCAATGTCACTGTCGTCACCGGCGTCGCTACTACCATCATCGAATCCGCCATTGTCGACGTC